CTGTGAAACGCAGCGGTCTGGGGGATGTCTCCGATATCTTCATCAGCGCTGTGCTGGATGACCAGGCCAGGCGAGAGGGAAGAATCAGTTCCTCTAAGTCAAGGCGGATATCTCGAGGCGTCTCACGCCAATCGTCGTTTCATAGCACTCAACTCCCAGAATCGGTACCCGAAGCTAATGAAGATGCTGAAGACGAAGGGGAGTTGGAACCTAAGGAACCTGGTACTCCAAAGCCTACAGCATCCTCCCAGTTACCTTCGCTGAAGTGGGCATTCCTACGACATCTATCGCTGGGGGATAATGCCCTCACCTTCCTCCCGACGTCCTTCCTATCACACCTGACCTCCGTCACCCACCTTGACCTCTCTTCCAACCTCCTCGTATCTGTTCCTTCTGGGCTCTCTGCCCTTTATAACCTCATATACCTCAACCTTTCCGACAACATGATCGACTCCGTTCTCGGTATATATACCATGCTTGGTGGAATTCTCACCCTCAATCTGTCCCGTAATCGCCTCGAGTCTATATGCGGCCTTGAACGGCTGCTTGCTCTTGAACGTGTCGATCTTCGACACAACGTCATCGAAGAGAGCGCAGAGATCGGTCGCCTGGCTACACTACCCAACATCGCGGAGGTGTGGGTCGAGGGCAATCCTCTCGTGGAGATAGAGGAAGGATACCGCATACGGTGCTTCGACTTCTTCTGCAAGGAGAAGAAGAGCATTCTGCTAGACGGTTCACCACCCGGTTTCTACGAGAAACGCTATCTGACATCGCCTCCGCCCGAGCAGATGACGTCCTCGAGGCCCCTTTCAGTAGCACAGTCGCCTCCAGTCGTCCCTGTAGGCAGCCCGTCCAAGATCAACGGGGCTGCTGCACCTCGCGGTAGCCCGCTCCACGCCTCCCCGACGGGCTCCCCAGCGTCGCACCCCGCCTCGCCCCATCTTGCTGCCGTGCAGGCGCGGGGTCGGAAGAAGAAGAACAAGCGAATAGTCGACCTCGACGGCGGGCGCGAGGCGAGCGATGCGGGGAGCGCACGAAGTGCTTCACGTCCCGCCGTGACACCGCGTACGGCCAGCCCTGCCAAGCGTAACGTAGCCCCCGAGCAGCAGCCCGCTCCCCCAATGGCCACACAGGTCCCGTCGCAACCGAAGACACAATCGCCGCCGGTGGCACCCGCTGTGAAGCCCGCCCCCGTCGCGAAACCCAAGTCGCGACACAGCCGACACATGACCGAGTTCGCACCCTCTGCGAGCTCAGGCCTCGCGGACGCCGTCGACGCCTTTGCGCCCTCCTCGCATGGCTCCTTGCGGAAATCGGCCGCGGTCTCTCGCGGGGCGGCAAGGCGTGCGCGCGTCTCAGCGTCCGTCTACGAGCCGAGCAAGGAGGACGCAACGGAGGGCCACTTTGGGGAGGCGGACGCGTTCCGTGCGCGCATCGAGGCTTTGCGGTCGGACATGGGCGAGGGGTGGTTGAAGGTGTTCAACCAGTCGCAGCTAGCCTCGCCGCGCGCGGTGCAGCCACCGTCATAGCGTCCGTGGGTCGAGGGGTTTTCGACGGTGTTCTACGGGACTTTTGCCTATTCTTGTGTATACCACATGCGCCTGGAGTGTTCTGTACTTTTGCTAGAGCTATATATCGCCAACTAATGCATCTCACGGGTACGCAGCCTGTGCCTCGCGAGGACACGGGCGCAAAGTGGTCTGACTGGGGTGGCAGGGGTCCGCTCCGAGGAGTGCGGGCGCCTGGGACGGAGGGTTGCACTTTGCCGCGGGTCGTGGCAGTCACTCGGACGCCGCTCCCTCGACGCGCCGTGCTCTCGTTGACTCTCCTGTTCTTCCTCGACCACACTCTCCCACCTCCCGTCGTTCGTTACCTTCTGCGATCCACTGCCAGCCATGGGTGCCAACCTCTCGAAGGCCTTGGGTGCGTCCCCCTTCGCCTTCGCTCCTCCTCGACGCCACGGTCGTCAGGCGCCGCGCCCGTGCGAGCGACAGCGCGATAGGTGTGCTCACGAGTCCGTTCACAGGGAAGATTTTTGGGAACAAGGAGATGCGGCTGCTGATGCTCGGGCTTGACGCCGCAGGCAAGACGAGTAAGTGGTCATCCAGTGCTAGCTGCCCTCGTCCTACAGCGGTGCTAAAAAGCGCGCCGTGCTCCGTTAAGCGATTCTCTACAAGCTCAAGTTGAACCAGTCTGTCACGACCATCCCCACCGGTGCGTCCCCGCCTCTTTTTCGTCCTTCGTACGGTGCGCGCCAGAACCTTTGTTTGACTTTGGGTGATGTGCAGTCGGCTTTAACGTGGAGACGGTCACATACAAGAACGTCAAGTTCAATGTGTGGGACGTCGGAGGACAAGACAAGATTCGCCCGCTTTGGCGGCATTACTACACCGGTACTCAGGGTCTAGTCTTCGTCGTCGACAGTCAAGATCGGGACCGCATAGACGAGGCCAAGCAGGAGCTCCACCGTATCTTGAGCGACCGAGAAATGAAGGAGTGTCTCCTCCTGGTCTTTGCCAACAAGCAAGATTTGCCTGGAGGTGAGTTCGCATGATCTGCCCCTGCAGTAGCCGTGACTCAAGCATTGGGTATGTAGCGATGTCGCCAGCGGAGGTTACGGAGAAGTTGGGTCTTCACCGTATGCGTGACCGGTCATGGTATGTCCACCCAAGGTACGTCATTCCCGTCTCTAGTGGTCTGGGGTAGTACTCAGCCCCGTGTAGTTGTGCCACGACGGGTGAGGGTCTTTTCGAGGGCCTTCAATGGCTCTCGCAGAACGTGAAGAAGCGCCAGCAGTAAACTGGCCGCATTCTGTTTCGGAAAATTCGGCTGGGATTCCCCTTCACTCTGCTCTATACCCCGACATGTCTCTGGTGATCTCGACCATATCACGGCCTGTATGACGCACGATCGCTCGCACGACGGACATGCCTCCCGCTCTCGCAATCAAGCCCCGCTAGCTACCTCTCCAACTACTTACTCTTTGTTTCCTTCGATCTGTCCAGTGTTACCCCCTTCCCCTCGATGATACACCTATGTATTCGCACTTTAATGGATGGGCTCCCGCCTGCTTGACCTTTCCCCATTTTTGGCTTGCCGTCTTGTGTCCGCGTCTGCGTCTTGCGTTGTTACAGTTGTGCTCTACTACCACCTGCCTGTCCTTCTCGCAATTCCATCTGGAGCTTCGGGTTCTGCGCGCCAATATGCCTCTGACCGAGTATTTCCCGAGTCGCACAGGTGCCGGCTTTCTCACCCAACATTCCACGCAGTCGCGACACGTCCAGTCGAGAGTAAAGGATTTGTGCCGCTAAGAGAGGTTTGAAATGTGTTTACATAACCTGTGGGTCTGGTAGGCGGTGGGGACCTTGCTCATGATGACGCCTTCGCGGTGAGGACGGCTACTCAAAAGACCTCGACGGGCCTCTGCATGACTTGTGTAAAGTAATTCGTATTCCCTCCGACTCCCGGCAGCTGCTTCCGACTGCTCGCGTCCGGAACCCTCTCACTCCGCTACCACCATGCAGGCTGTAATCGCTGCCTTACGTGCAAGGCCACTGTCCCGCGCATTCACCTCGCGTTCCGTCGACGGGTTTGTTGGCGCTGTGGGCAACACGCCCTTGGTCAGTACTTACGGCGTCACCTAATTGTCGGTTCTGACTCGCGCCGTGGCCGCAGATCCGACTAAACAAGCTCTCGGAGCAGACGGGATGCAACATCGTGGCCAAAGGCGAGTTCCAGAATCCTGGTGGTAGCGTCAAGGACCGCGCCGCCCTCGGTGTCGTCTTAGATGCGGAGAAGCGGGGTCTGTGAGTACATATCATTGGCCTGTACAATATCCCTTGGGCTGAAAATGTTGCGCGTAGCTTGAAGCCGGGCGGGACGGTCGTTGAGGGTACTGCGGGTAACACTGGTATCGGTCTTGCCCACGTCTGTAGGGCAAGAGGATACCGTTGCGTCATATTCATGCCCAACACCCAGGTAAGCCGCTCTCTCATGCCTTCCCGCACTCTCTGGACCAACAACCCGCCATCGCCACGCAGAGCCAGGAGAAGATTGACCTCCTGCGCATGCTTGGCGCGGAGGTGTACCCCGTGCCCGCAGTCGCGTACGAGAACCCGGCGAACTACAATCACCAAGCGCGCGACTTCGCGAAGGAGCTCCCGAACGCGATCTGGACGGACCAGTTCGACAACACCGCGAACGCGGACGCGCACTATCGCACGACCGGTCCCGAGATCTGGGCGCAGACCGACGGCAAGCTCGACGCATTCATCTGCGCGACCGGTACGGGAGGCTCGCTCGCGGGCATTGGGCGCGCGCTCAAGGAGAAGAGCGATGGGCGGGCGCAGGTGTGGCTCGCGGACCCGCCTGGGAGTGTGCTTCACAGCTACATCACGAGTGGTGGGAAGCTCACTGAGCGGAGTGGGGGCTCCATCACCGAGGGTGCGCCGCGCTTTTTTGCTGTTAGGGTTCACTTTCTGACTGGAATACAGGTATCGGCCAGGGGCGTATCACCAACAACCTGGGCACCTTCGTGAAGAACATTGACGGCGCGTTGCGTATTCCTGACGAGAAGACGATCGCAATGCTGTACGACCTCCTCGACACTGAGGGCATTTACCTGGGTGCAAGTTCTGCGCTCAACGTCGTCGCCGCTGTGGAGCTCGCAAAGGAACTCGGCCCTGGTACGTTTCACATGACGGAGGTCGGCGCACGTACAATATTCTGACCATAGTACTCATAGGCAAGACGATTGCCACCCTTCTCTGCGATGGTGCGTACCGGTACCAAAGCCGTCTCTTCTCCAAAAAGTGGCTACAGGCAAAGGGCCTGGAGTCCGCTATTCCAGAACATTTGAAGAAATATGCTGTACTGGAGTAGATTATAATGCACTTGGACTGTGGATCTTGTACAGCAATTACGAGGAAGGGCCTGTTGTCAACTCTATCGAACATTCCGCTTCCGGTTATAAGTAGAGCCATTGCATGATGACCAACACACTGATGGTGAAACGGTATCATGCTTGCCTTCCATCATACCGTATAGCAAGCGGCGCGGGTTCGACTCCCGCTCAGTGTATTTTTCTCCTTCGAAATCTAATCGGCCTGGAACACTGAGTGCCAAGTGCCGAACGATCGACGTTCAACGCCCAGTATCCAACCTTTTCAGTTCTTAGGCCTTTGTAGGATTTTCTGAGCTTGTCCGTAAGGGACAGTGGTGGTAAGTATTTCATCAGGAATTGTGACTATTTCGTCCGTTCAGCTCGGCTTCCAGGGATTGCACCTCCTCCACAAGCTCCTGGACTTCCGTTTTTCGCTTCTGGACGATCGTCTCCAAACCAGTGCAGGCAGAGTCTGCCACCAGCACGACGTGTTGATCCATCGTCCGGTCCAGCGTGGTCTGAGTTCGCAATTGCAGCCATCCTCTTAGCCTTCATGCGCGAAAGACATAATGGATCTATGCTCACCTTCAAATCCCTCTCCAAACCCTCGCCCACGCGGTCCCAGTCCTTCCACCACCGCCTCTTCGCCTTCTCCCACCGCCCTACGGCCCATCGCACGCCAAGCACAGCGCCGAGCATCCCGACGCCAGTTGCGGTCTCCAAACCCATGCCGACGTCGATGAGACCACCCGCGAGACCGAGCTCGCTCGCCCATCCTGCCCAGGTGACCCCAAATCCACCGATGACGCTCCCGCTCATCGTGATCACCGCACGTTGAGCAGAAGCGTGCAGGCGCGAGGTGGGGAAGCCGAGTTGGTTCTGGCGCGCGTGCAGCGGTGCGGTGAGTGCGGTTGCGGAGAGCGCGTAAGAGGGCGCAGAGGTGATGCGTTCCAGGGTATTGTGCAGCACCGGAGAGTGATACACGGACGATGGCGGGAATGATTGGCAAAGGGCCGACGCAGATTCTTTGAAGGAGGTCTGCAAGGAAGCCAAACGGCCGGCGTGGAACACCAGCTGTGCAACGCTGTTAGTAGCTGGGCCGAGGTAGATTGCGTGGAGACTAGTACCTTCCGCTCGAGGTCTCTACACCATGCCCGGTCAACCGCAGCGGTGACCACTTCGCGGATATCGTCTACGCGCCAGAACAGCTTATACCACTGCAGGGCATCCATCGTAACCTGAACGCTTCTCTTAGCCTGCAATACCGCCTTCGCGATCTCGTCCCCATCCGTGCCCGGAGTGCCAAAAACCGCGAGATGTACTTTCGCCTTCGACTCTTCGACCTGTTCGCGCAACGCGCTCACTCCCGTCAGCACCACATCTGCCTCGAACTCGGCTTTTTGCAGCACACCGCGGGCAGTCGCCAAAGCACCCTTGACGAGTGCGTGTCCCGTCTGGATGTGTACCGCGACAACGCGAGAGGACTCGGGCAAGTCGGCTCCCTCGCCCAGAGCACCGGTCAAAATATCTTTGACGGCGTGAGTAACGCTAGCGACATTGGAACCGGTAACGTCGTCCTGGTACCGCTGTACGGAAATCGGGGACGACGGGCCGTCCCCAAGTTGCGCCAGGCCATGCAACGCACGGGCGGGGTCCACGAAAACGACATACAGGTCGTCCTGTAGCGCAAGCTTCTTAACGTGAAGAGCCTGCGCCTTTGTCTCCGCGTGTGTCGGCGAAGGAGAAGATATAGCAAGGATGGTATGCTCGCGGGATATAGGGAGCGGGGGGCTCGCAGAGACGGGCAGGAAGGAGGGCAAAGGACTGGACACCGGGTTGCAGAGGATGATAGGGATGTCGGCTGTAAAAGTATCCGTTGCGGTCTTAGGGTTAGAAGAGGGCGGGTATTCAGACAATTCCAATGGTACGCCGAAGTGCTGCAACCATGAAGACTGGATCTGGACGACGTCGCTGTCTTCACTAACTGCAGTACCGTATCTGAACCGGATTTAGCACCCGCATGGACGTAGCATAATACGACATACACACCGAAGGCTTACTGAACGACTCCCTTCCGGTCGTGTCTCCCACCGAGTGCGGAGGACTCTCTTCTGTTCATCTGAAACGAATGGGTCTTCAAGGAGTGCAGTTACGAGGTCGCTCGCCCCTGATTGTTCATCCACACCATACACTGTTTATTGTGCTGCATTAATACGGAGGCTTCGCTTTAAAAAGCGATCCGGGGCGCACCTGCGACTCGGACTGCGTCCTTTCCCTTAACAGGTGAAAGAGATAGGTTCGCATGCGTTATACCCATTATCTCCTCCCAGAACTGCAGCGACTCCTTAACAGCGACTCCCTTAGCACTGATTCCAGCAGGAGGCAAAATCCGCGGGAGCAGCGCGGTCGTCTTGTGTAACACCGTCAGAATGTGCGCCCGTCTGTCTTCGTGCTTAACCGGAAGCGCCGCGGCGGTCGCAAGTGTCGCTCTTTTCACTCTTGATTGGGTTCTGCGGTGACCTGCAACATTTCGTGCAGCATCATGAGTGAAATGCCGCGTGTACGCGCTATGAGGATGTGCAGAGGCGCGAAGAAGGCCAGAAGAGGAGGCCAGACATGTCGGCATGGATGAGAGTCGCGGTCATAGCGAGACGCGCCGGCTGCACGCGCTACTTCCGGCCCAGAAGTCCGCTGTGCTGCTATCCACTCCCGACCTCGGACCTGGCAAGGTTCCCACTTCATACCGCCAGAATCGTCCATGCTCCCCAGTGATAAAAATGTATAGCTACAAACATTATGTATGTGCCTATGCACGAGTACAGTAAATAAATTATTCCCGGGTCACCACGATCTTTGGCGGGGGCGGGGGCGGACCTCCCCGACTGCGCGGCTCCTCGTCCTCGTCGCTCTCTTCTCCGATGTCAAACAACTCCTCCCGCTCGTCCCACACGTCAGCGATGCGTACGGACTTGGACGGGACGGCCGGACGTGGAGATTTAGCAGGCGTGCGCGGAGTGTTCGGTTCATAATGTAGAGGAAGCAGCTGAGTCGCGTCCACGTCCGAGTCCTCTTCGTCCTCCGACATTGAGCCAGGGTCCAGGGGCTGGTAGAGACGAGATATCTGAGGCGATGTTGTCAGTTTTATGTGGTGCGATGGTCAAGCAGATTAATTTGTACTTCGCGCCTGTGCCTGTAATACCGCTCGAGGTGGTAGGCAATGTATAAACCAAGCGTAGACCCGAGAAGGTTAGCCTGCAGGCCATGGTATTGACTTAATCATGGAACATTGACGGACAGGCTTGATAACTGACCGCTATGTCTCCAGCTTGGAACTCTTTGTACTAGGTACTGGGTAAGGGTCATACGTCGAAGAATTGAGCACAAAAGTGACATACCGGCAGCATGGATTGTACAATCTCGCTGATAATGCCCCCGAAGAAGAAACATACAATGCCCGAGATCAACAGGGGCGAGTTGCGCCATATCCATATGCGACGGGCATCCCTGTGAATGAAATGGGAGGCGGCGATTGTTTCGTGATGAGCGGGAATACTTCAAACACAACGCATGTCATGCGTACTCTTCGACGTCGAATATAAAGTAGAACACCGCAGTAGCGATACCCATGCAAAGAAAGTGAAGGACTTTATCGTTCAGTGGTAGCGCGTGCGAGAAGTTAGTGAAGCCCAGTAATGCCAGGCCCACCAGAATCAGGCATGTGAAGACCATAAACCACTAGGGAACGCCCGTTGAGCATTTGCGGGTGATTCAATATCCCAAGAGCGTTCGCACCGGCCGCAACCGCATGGGCATATCATACTTCGGTATTTGGAAGTGATAGGAACGCATGACGGCCTTGTTCACTTTACGGACAGTCTTGCGTGAGCGGCGAGCAGTACGCGTCCATAGCGGTTCCGAGGCCGGCAGGTCAGAATCCGGTAAGCGAGGCATTTGGCAGTCGCTTCGTGCACTGTCTATTCCAGCAGCGGCTAATTAGTGAGCAGAGTGTACACAAGAAAGCAGGGCAGTGATGAGAACGAAAGAGAAGAGGAGGAAATGCAGTGGCTACTATGGGCGCGGCCTGTGGCGGAGGCTGATCGGAGGCTTCGGGCTTGGGGTCCTGGGCATTCAATCCTTGTGGGATATCGTAAAAATTATTTTATTTTATTTTGTGATAAGATGACTTATCTCTACTATATATGTGGCCGGCTTGTGATTCCCCCCTCCGTCTCCCACTCCGAACGGAAGGCCATCATGTGGCGGGTGTGCGGTCTTAAGCTCAACGTTCAGTGTGCGCGGGCGAACGTCCACCTTCGTGTTCAGACCTCCATCGTGTCCAGTGTACGCACCATGTCGTCCAACGCACCAGACATTCGAGCTAAACTGGCCGGCTTCTCGACCTGCGAGCTCTCCGACGCGCTCATCAAACTAGGCACCCCGCACGGCGGGCACGTTCCCGACATACACATGCTCTCCCCGTCCGATCCAACTACACGCCTGTGCGGACCTGCTTACACGGTCCAAATGGTACTGGGATCAGACAAGGCCGCACCCAAACTGTCAGCGCACTTTGTCGACACCGCGCCGGAGGGGTCGGTGGTAGTAATCAACGCGCCGCACCGTTCAGTATTTTTTCTTGCTCGCGCGTCGATTTGTCACTTACGCTGAGGCTTTGAATTGCCGTGTGTCATGCGGATTTACACAGATGTGAAGAACGCGGTCTGGGGTGGCTTGATGACCGCCGGGGCGCAGGCTCGCGGCGCTCTCGGCGTGATCATCTCCGGCCGTTGCAGAGACCTCGCGGAGCACCGAGCTACGTCGTTCCCTGTGTTCGCGAGGGGCCACTCTACCCTCGGCCAGTCGCCCTTCACGCGCCCCTCCGAGGTGAATGTGCCTGTCGTGATACGTCCTTCTGACGTGTCGGAAGAGGACTTCGCGCCCGTGGAGGTGACTCCAGGAGATTGGATGGTCGCCGACGAGGATGGTGTCGTCTGTGTTCCTGCGAAGTTTGCGGAGGAGACCATTGCTCTAGCTGCCAAGGGAAGAGAGGTCGACGAGCGTTGTATGGAGGACATAAAGGCAGGTAACGGCGTCCAGGTCACATTCAAGAAGCATAGGGGAAAGTAGATGAATTCACGGAGGTAAATTAATGGGCAACAGATTTCATATAACCTGCTCGTTGTTTAGTATGCCATCC